TCACTTGAGATGGATTAAAATTTTAGACCTGAATTAAAACTGAGTTGGTACTCTCTCTGAACTAATGTTCGCTTTTTGTTGAATGCATGTTATAAGGCATGCAGTGTGGATGAAAACGTAACAAACTGAAGCAGACCCATTGAAATTGTACGATCATTTCACTGATTTAATGGCGAAAAGAAATTTTTGAAAAAATACACAAGGCCATCATCGCCTCATCGCCTGGGATGGTTATGTCAGCTGCTTATGAGTGAATCTACATCAAATTCGGCATTTGAATCAGAGCTGGCGTTTGAAATGTTAAAATTGTTTGCTGTCGTGTAATCCCAACCACTTTCTTAAAATGTGAAATCATCATGATGAATATGAAAAAAAAATTTATTGCCAATCCACATGAATTGTTCAAAAAAATGAGATCACGTTTGCAATCAACGGATCACTTGAATGATCGGAAGATACACCGTTATATGAATAAAGCCGGAGCCAGCACAAACCAAAAAAAAGTGGAACTGGTCACGGAACTGCGACGATTCATCTGAAAGGATTGGTTGGATTCTGATAAAATCCGTTTGTGTCGAACGACGGCTGCACTGGTGATTCATCGTCGAATTGTCTGGCGTATTTTTGCGACGATTGATTCTAAAAGAACTATTAAATTATCACTTTTGAATCAATCACCATTATTTCCACGCATCATTTACAAAAAAAAAACAAAGCAAAAACAATGAAATGAACAATTTTGACAACCGGTTGCAATTGTTTACAAATTGATTGATGACATTGCATGACAATTGATTGATGACATTGCGATTAACGTTTCGAAATTTTTGATAAAGAATGAAAAGTTTCAGACTGATTCATTTTTCTATCCAAAATCAACTTCTTGATTGTGTAATGTCGTCGTCATTCCATCAATCAAACAAATTTTTCAACATTTCGAACGCTGACAATACGGACTGGTAACAAATGGTACCGACAACGCTGCACAAAATACTATCTTTTACGCTAGTCTGAACTAAACACATCGATCTTTCGCTCCTATCAGCTAATGTAAATCTAATATGAACCAATGATTTCGATAAGTATTGTGAATAATCTAATACGTCTAAACAATCTAAATAATAATCTAATCGTAAATCTAATACGATAATACATCAAATAGGCTCGTGTAAAAACTATATTTTCGTTTCGAACAACCCTCTAAAGTTTCACCTAAAATGCAAACCGTCTCGATTTCCACAGTCTTCCAAAACTGCATGAAAACAATAGTTTCAGAGTGCTACATTCATCGTTTTATGATTGCTTCATTCTGAGCCAATTTGTTTGCCTTTCATTATGATGACTTGTACTGAGATCAAATAGCGGGGTGAAGACTGATTCGATGCATCGATTAGGAGAAGTGAATTCGCGCAATTTCAACCTCGTTCACAATTGTGGATTTGTCATCATCTCCGCCCTGTGGATCCACGTAAGTGTCGTCTTTGACCAAAAAGAATCGACTTAGATTCAGTTGCTGTACGTCGTAGAGAGTGGCCAGGAATAGCATCATACAACTCAGACCAAATAGTAAGTACACTGAAATCGATAGAGCTATCATTGCTATCACCAAAGAACGTCGTGAAGATGCTATCTTCTAATCATTGGCTGTTTTGCTGAACTCTGTGAAGAATTTTCGCTAGGAGTTCTCTTGAAATTTACGACACTTGAATTCCGTCATGTGAGCGTTTTCATTCGAAACGATGTCTGATTTGCCGTCATTTCCAGTTCATTTCAGCGAAATGGAATATGAAATTGGAGACATGCGCTAAACTGCAGAA